AGAAGACATTGAGGAGAATGCAAGGGCACAATTGCGGCGTGAGGAGCTGATTGAGGAGATTGAGCAGAAGGTAGGAGGGCTCCGAGAACTTGAGGAAGCCGGCCGGAAGTAGAAACTTATTCAATCAAATGCATATATATGCACTTTACTCAAACATCACTGTATCTAGTTCTTCAGCCTGGCTTCCATATGGTAGGGAAAAACGAAGCTAAGAAAATATTTTACAGCAAATTATGTTACATGTTTTTATTCTTTTTTTCCTAATATTTTACATGCTTTAAATGAACATTTTTTCAAATATTTCAATATATGAAGAATTGAAGTTGATTATAGAAGCTTGAGAATTTCTCTTCATTCTAAAAAAAAAAAAACACGACAAATGGTATATGTCAATATAGAAAAAAATAAGCACAAGAGAAAATTATAAATAAAATAAAATTGAATTATCAATTGTAAAAAAAAAAAAGGATCTATACTAATGGAATTATCCGTCTATAAAGGTAAGGGTCTATACAGACGGAAAAATTCTTAAGATTTCCCAAGATCTATACCAACGGACAAATCTTCTATCGGAATAGATCTGAGGGTTTATACAGACGGATCAGGCGTTGGTATAGACCCTATACTGACGAGGTTTTTATGGACTGAAAACTCTTCCGTTGAAATAGTCCCTGGGGGTCTATACCAACGGAAAAGGGGTGTATACAAACAGAAATTTTCCATTGGTATAGATGCATTTGCTTGTAGTGCATATGACTTATTTTCCACATCAAACATGCTATTCTTATTTTTTACAGATTACTGCAACAAAGTCAGTATCGCTAGAAGTAGCATTCATCTACTTTGCTAGAAATATTGCAGAATGCAACCCATTCCAACACCTATTTTTATATACATGGCCCGACATGGCTAGATCTATCTCTATGACATGGCTGGACGTTTTTTACGGTCATGTCCTCTGCAACGATCATCATTGCTACATCTTGTAGTTCCCAATGATGGACAAAGGGCTAGATTCGTTATCTCACTTAGCCTCCAACAATGGGTAAAAGGCAAGATATTTCTACATATCTTCATTATACCAATTCTCAGCAATGAACGAAGGGTTGGATTTCTACATATTTTATCTCATTGGCTCTCGGAAACGGACAAAGAGTTAGCGCAACTTGATACGATTAATGTGAGGCCGATAACAATTGCAACCTTGCGATTAGACGAGATGGTTATCCTTTGGCGATAAAAATCCATCAAGTTGTGGTTGGTGGTCCCTTGGTAGTCGCTCGTGTATGGTGGTGCAGTGTTCGAAGGGCAACAACAACCAAGACCACCCTTTGACGTTGCGGGTATGCTAATAAAGGCTAGCGTTTATCAATGGTATCACACTTTGTCGTATCAGAGACCATGGATGCAGTTGGTGTTCCCCTTCCATAGAGACAACTCCACCTCTCTATCACATATTCATTGCTATGATGGAGTTTGGCTTGGTGAGATTTATCAATACGCAACTTGGTGGATTAGTGGGAGTGCTCTTCCAATTCCACATAGTTCATGCTCCAACCATGGGTAAAGCTAGCCACTGTTGTCCCTCTAGTTATAAGGAAGCTATTCATGGCTAACCCTGCGATATTTACATGGGTGGCGGCTATGCATATCATTATTTTCTCACATAAAGGGATAAAATTATCAGTCGCCAGTGATCCCAACTCATAATATATATCTTCTATATTTTACGTGTTAATATGTATCACCGACTAGTGATGCTTGGCTTGAGACAACGATATCGCAGCACACATTTGTACTCGAGATAAACTATGGGAGGAATTGCCACAAATAGGCAGTTTCTAGTCCTTCTCTAGCACCAATAAAGCTTTTCTAGAACCACTGGGTAATTTATAATATCACTTCCAGAGAGCTATCAACAGTGCCTAGGGCTACTAAAAGCTTGACAGCTCACCCAAATCTCCTATTAGCCACTGCACCTTTGGCCCATTAACCCAAAAATCACAAAAATGCCACTGCACACACATATATATATATATATTGTTTTTCCTTCATTATTCAACATGCCAAAACATATTTCACAACCTGGAGCTTCTCCCTCACGCACCAAAAACCTCCTTTCTTCCTCTTAAAAATACTTCATCCTCAACCTCATCCCACACACCAAAATCACCCAAAAAATCACCTTCTCCTTCATATTTTTTGCACTTCCAACACTGCAGAACAAGTTTCAAACTTGTAGAACATCATGGTTGGAAGGCAGCATGTTTTAGTTTTAGCTTCTGGGTAAACTTTCTTGAGCATCAAAGGATCAAGCTAAGAAGTTAGCATAAAAAAGGGGATCAATCCACTACACTCACAAGCCCCCAAGTGGTCATCCTTCCTTCTCCCATCACCATTTTCAAGTTTATTCCTTTTGCTCTTGAAAGAGCTTTAAAGGAGGGATTGTTATATTTTCCATTTACAATATGAGGGTTGTTCATTATAGAGTGAGGGTATTTATTAGAGATGGTAGAGGTCACATTTATTGTTATTATTATAATGTCACAATGCTTTATATATGAATGTGATTCTCAAGTTGTGATTATTAATCTTCATATGTTCACCAACCTTGATGCTCCTGCCACAATGTGTATTTCCTCTTCATACTTTTTGGTAGTTGTGTGATCATTTTCGACTCTTGGAACTTTGTCACCCTTGCTCATCTCCCCTTTTCATGGCTAGCAAATTTATACTTTCAAACTTTGTTGGAGAGTTTGCCGCTGGGCATTATTGCTGGACGGAACGAGATGGCCTATAGCACAGCTTTTTGCACGTGGAATGGGTATTACCAAAAAGACCCTCGCAGGTAGCATCTTAATCAACCTCTACATCATTGCTACTGTTGACTCATCAACCAACATTAGCAGCACACCCCAATGAATTGTATGCTCGAACGGGCAAGAAAAATAGCCAGTCGATCCAGACAAAAAAACTTGTTTCTGTAATTTTTTCACCAGCCAAGAGAGTTTTTTTTTTTTTTTTTAATACATCAGATTTTAGCAAGGAGTTAATGTTTAGCCCTAACCTATTAATTACTTTCTTACCTTTCTTTACCTGCTTTTTGCATAAATGACAAAGGGCTATAATACAGAGAATGATTGAGATTTATAACTTCTTCGTTTTTTTCTTTTTCTTTTTTCTTTTTTTTAATCTTTTTGTTGGAACGGGATAAGTAATTCAGCCCACGAAAGAAGGAAGCTAAGAGCAAATGCACAGGTTTGAATTCGTATCAGAAGTAAGGAAGTCTTTTACAAAAGTTCCTTTTTTCTTTTCTTTTTCTTTTTTTTAATCAACTAAAATGAATTTTATTATTTTAAAGTAACAAGGGATATTTTTGTCTTATAATGTTTTACAAAAGTTTTGATTAGTTGACCTAGAAGCATTTCGTAAATTTATTATTTTGAGATCTCAACTTGAAGTTTTAATAGTATATATATTTGGTTTGAGGGGAATAAAAAGAAAGGAGATTTTTTTACCAATTAAATTATGATGTTTTTAAATATTAAAATGTAATTGGTATGTCAAAAAAATCCTCTCCTCCCTTTTTCTCCATTCCTTTCAAAGCAAACATATATACTATTAGTTCTTATCTTTTATATAGTACACTTCTTGAGAGTTATTTTTCTAAATTTATTTAGTATATATACACAAAAGAAAAATGATTTATACACATTTAGTTTAACATATTTTTTTGATACATTTTTAGTTAAATCATTAAAAATTTAATATAAATATAATCGATTTGACTGGTTCTTACATCTTATATGCATGAATGTATTTTTAAATTTGTTTGTTTTTAATTTCATATCAAAAAATAATAAATTTTTAATAAATGTATTATATAATATGTTAAACTGAATTGTATATCGATCATTATCCTACACAAAATAATTTCAATTAGAATTGTCAAAATATAAAAGGAATTATAAAGACTTATCTATTTAAAATATTTGAACCAGAGTGTTTTTTTTTTTTATTTTTTAGTAATTTCAAAACTTTTTTTTACTTAAATTTCTCCATTTCATGCAAGGAGCATGAATTTAAATTAATCATTTGTAAAAGAGCAGGAAAATGTTTGGGGGACCGACCCCCTGACAAGCCGACAGAGGCCGGCCTCCATGGCACCAATAAAATTTTCTCCTTTTTTAAAGGTAAATTTATGGTTTATTCCTTACTTTGAATTATTAAAACCTTTTTTTATTCTCTTATTTTTTTTAAAGTTAAAATCAATATAAATTCATGTTGCTAGAGTTTAAAATTTTTATGTTTTAGTATTTAAGATGTTAGGGTTTAGATTTTTTAAATTTTAATATTTGGATAATTTTAGAGTTTTGCATTTAAGGTTTTAGAGTTTAGATTTCTTAGATTCAGTATTTTACAGTTTTGTTAGTGTTTAGATTTCTTAAAATGTAGTGTTTAATGTGTTTGTATTAAAATTTTTAAAGTTCAAGATTTAATATTTAAAAGATTAAGTATTTAATAATTTAAATAATTTAAAAAAATTATAAGACTTAAAAATAAAAAAATAAATAAATTTTAAAAGTACAATAAGAAAAGTAACAGGGACCAATCGGCCTGGGGACCGATCGGTCCCTGTAGCATTACTCTTTTAAGAACAATAACAGATTGCTGAATTTGAAACATGAGCCTTTTCTTTCTTCTTCCTTAGCTTAATTTCATCACTGGCAAAGCATCAGATAAGACCCTCCCCAAGAATTATTTTATTTTATTTTATAAAAATAAGAAAGTAAGAACTAATTAACCTGATTTAGTGGTTTGATTGGAGGAATTGTTATTCCTTTCTTCAAATTATGATGATGTTCTTGCTTTAATCTAATTTTATCTTCTTCTACATAATCTATGTCGGTCAATGTATCTTGAATCTTTTATCCTAATTTTACTACTAGTGGTTATATAAATTCTCTACGTGTCCGTAAAAGAAATTAAAATGTGAAAGGCCAATGGTCAAACTTTTCAACTTTTAAAAGAAACCAATAACAAATTCCAAGATAGGAAAATGATTGGGATCGGAGATGATTTTTATTTATTATATAATATTTTTATATAATTTTATTTATTATTTAATATTTAATTTTTTTATTTTACTAATTTTTTTTCATATTATTT